GCGAAGAGAAGAGGCAGGCTTCGGACAGGCCACAGAGAGGCCGCGGCCTGCCGGCTGCCGAGGAGGGTTTGAGGGCGGGGCCCGTGGGTGTCTAACGTTGCTTTCGGAAAAGCCCATAACAAGAGGAGAGGCAGGCCTCGGACAGGCCACCGAGAGGCCGCGGCCAACCACAATGCACCTGCACACATGCCTTTGGAAGTGCTTGGAAGGGTTCTGCAAGGCTTGGCCAACTGCTTCACCCTGCGGTGTCCCAGGCGCCTCCCCGCCTAGGCTTTGGCTATAGGCCGGGGTCGGCGGATAATATGATATGATATGATATTGTATGATATGCCTCAAAGTTCACCCAGTGCGCGGTCGGATTCGTATCAGGTGCCTCGGGCTTTTCCGATGTGAACCAAAATGAGGGGGACTCATGGTCGTGTTCTTCTTGTCGGGTTCATGCTTTCGGTTTACGACTTGCACAGGTCCTAGCTGAGCTGAGCCGGTTGGCAGATGGGAGGCCTCCACCGTCACTGAAGAGTGGGAAGAGTGGGAAGAATGGCATCACAGTTGATCAACTTAGCAAATATGAACGACTGACGCGATAAGACGATAATGATCACTGGAGTCATACATGTCATACGATGATTGATGGTCCCAAGCTCTGAAGATACCCAAGTGAGGAGGATAAGTGCCTGGGTAGGTTCAAGATGTTCAAGGAAGGGGCAAAGAAGCACGATCCAAACAAGCGAACCAACCTGAATGAGCGACCGCAGTTGTAAGTTAAAAGACCTGGTAAATCTGCAACAGCCCGGAACGAGGACTTATACAGACCTCCCAGAGTTGAATGCATGCAGATGCAAGGGGTTCAGACCACTCATCCACCCATATTTCATAGCTTCTTTTGGCATCTTTGGGCAACGTAGTAAGAAATAAGACGTTAGGCCGCTGTACCCGGCTTATGTTCAGGACATCGTCTAAGACTCCAAGGCTCTTTTACACATGCGCAACCACACAACGCACACGATGCGCACACACGCGCAGAATGCATGAAAGAAGAAACAGCAGCATCATCATCCTTTCTCATTTGATATGGTCGCATGATCTTCTTCTTGTTTTACTCGTGAAAAACACACAATTTGAGAGGCCTGGGGTGAGCTCCTCAATGGCTCCAGCCTATCAGGCAGACCGGTTGCAGTGCAGGGCTGTTATGTCACTGTTCGACCCTCCCTATGTCCAGGCCCTGGCCGCTGGTTCCTTTGGAGCTACATCCAGTCCGACCAAAGTGCTCGAATCCTAGCATAGCATAGTAGAGGCTTGCACCTTTCTAGCCAGCCCCAATCTGAGGATCCATTTTGTCCTTCCAAAGCCTCCAAAGCCATACATTTGTTGACGGCCACTCCTTAGTCCTTGGAATTTGGGATGCCTTTTTGTCTGCCAGGTCGTACTATCCAGTTCCAGCTCCACTACAGTAAGATCAAGATCGCTTCGTCGAGGCGCCTGCATGCGGCTGCATTGCAAGTGGCCCTTTTTGCAGCTTTGCCCAGGAGAAACTTGCTCCTCCTTGAAGAGCTTGAACAAAAGCTGCCCAGCTGCCCAGCATTTGCCACACTTGATGTGCCCTGTTGTAATGATTGAAATTGGTTGTCAATTCATTCTGGGGATTTCGTACAACCCCCCAAGGCCCGGGCCATCAGGGCGATAACAGAAGGATGACGAATCCTGCACCCAACTATATACTTTTGACATTTTTTGACCATGGCACATTCGTTCCATTCTTGCAAAGTGCAGGTCTTCACACACGACTCGCTCTCTAGGCTCTCAGCTTGTTTCCAGCTGATCCTTCCCTCACAACAAAAGCACATGAGACAGAGTGGCCATGATCGTTGATAACGTCCAAGCGATAGACCCTCAGCTATATACATATATATACATACAAACATGACAACGCCGCTGCATCAATGTAAATGCATGACATGACAAAGCTATTCAATTCTGGCTCACTGACAAAGCTCTTGTGCAGGCCTGAACTGGACATGTGACATGTGACATGACACATTCATAGAAGTTGGCAACAGTGAGCAATGATGCGAAGTTTGTGCCGTCTCTCAACGATATTTGTGCTGCATTGGCTGGGACCTTGGTCTTTTCTTGATGCTTTTGCCCTGGCAACTCAAAAGGCATGAGATCTTGAGGCATGCTTCGCGTGGCCAAGATTTTCCTTCGCTGTCGTGGAAAGCTTGGATCAAACCTTCAAAGAACGGGATGTTGCGTGCGGACGCACTTGGTGTGCAGTAGTAATGTGCAGATTGACCTAGGAGCTGGTCTTATCAATACCAACAGCCCGAGTCTCGAATTGAACTTATGATGCTCAATGAAGGCTCCTGCTTGCAAAGGTATTGGGGAAATATTGTTGGCGCTACCTGCTCCTCGTTTGTTCCCCGGACTTTGGATCTTTGAACAGCAAGCGAGCACTTGCTACACACCGAGGTACACGAGCCAATCGCCCATTGATATCCCAAAGTACTCGCCTCGGCGACTCGGAGAGGAGAAACAAAGCGAGCCTTTTTTGTGTGTTTCGAGGCAGCTGGATAAGGTGGAGCAAAAGAATCTCACGCACTTCTGGCTTGTGACATTGTATGACCATTCTGGTCTACGCATGTCTTTTCGCTTGCGTCGAATGACAAGAAACACCGACGCACGCAACAGGACTTTAGGTGGCGGAGAAGAGGGGGCACGGCTTGGTTCTTTGGCAACCTGCTCAGCTGTTCGATGGGCATCCCAGATCTCCTGCTTGCTCGGTTGACTGGCTAGGCTTGGAGCCTTTTGAACGACGCAGTCAATGTTACCCTTCATCCAGGATCTCAATCCGAAAGACTTAAGATTGCTGCATCACTGTTGCAGGAAAAGAACATTAATCTTCCAATTTTCGAGAAGCTTTCTGAGAAGGGCAGGAAGAGAAAACTTCAGCTGCAAGGACCTGTGACCTGGGAAGTACGAATGACCAACCCAGCTGCGATCCTGGTACAATTGGAGGGTCATGGCCCAAGTTCTTGAAGTCTCGATGGTGTGAAGACCAAGAGATCAAACTGATAAAATCATACATATCTATGTAATTCTAACTTAGATACATGAACATGTTTGCAGCTTACTAGTGCGTCGAGCAAACACCCATGCGATTTGCTTTCTTTCCCCATCCTCCACGGTCTTTACGCAGGAGTTGACTATACCCTTCAGTCAATTTCCTTCAAGTCGCCCTCAGAGCATACAGCCAGGAACTCGAGTATTGACAACAAGGCTTTGCTCAACAGCCCGAACAGTCGAACAATGTAGACCTACGCCATAGGTACAGGGTGCACACAATGCAATGGAGGTGCAGCTCTATCACACTGGAAAGGACTTCCAGGCTTCATAGATTCAAATGACATGTCGTGTGGTCAGACTCCCTTGCTCTTCCAGCATGTTGCAGCACATGTTGCAGAAACTCGATCAGACACATTGTTTATTGTTCAGAGAGATGTGACAGGGTGCTGAAAGAAGACTTCTAGTGTCTGTGAGCTTGGCACAAAGGGAAGATGCCTTGCCCATAGCTTTCTTGCCTTCTTGGTCAGCAAACGACAGCAAAACGCTTCTTTGTCTATGCACTTCATTTCCGGCCTCTATGCACAAGGCTTGGAACAAGTTCTTGGATCCCATTTTCAATGCAATGCCTCAAGACGGAGCTGGGGTCGGAATCCTCTAGCCACACTTCGGAGCTGGGGTCGGAGAACAGCTGCCATTCTTCACTTTGCTTCTCACTTCACTTCGCGTGCTGAGACTCCTTCGATCATGATCAGCAATCCTTGGTCTGACCTTGCGCCGCCGGGCTGCTCTCGTGTTTTATGGAGGTGACGATAGGAATCCTATGGACACCTGCTTCCAAACCTGCTTCTTTTGATCCTAATCGATGATGCTATGAATTGCTAGGACATAAGAAATGCAATGTGTATTTGGTCCATCCAGGACAGGTCTTTTGTCACTTACGATGGCAGTACTACGGTGGAAAGCTGAGACAGAGTCAAAAGACCAGTGGTTTCCTGAAAACAAATAGATACCAACAGGCTTTCACTCTACTAGCGATGGCCTCCAACCTGAGAGCGATGGGCTCCAACCTAGTAGCGATGCCAAATAGGCTGCAAATCCAAATAAGACGCTTAAGGAACCAACACTAGGCCATGCGTGACTGGCATGGTTCCACGTCCAAAGGGGGGCTTTGAGTGCAACATATCAAGGCACCTCCGTGCGAGGCCGCCACGTGGGTTGCACGGCTCTCAGACGAAACGGCGGCCACGTGGGTTGCCCCGGTCTTGCTCCACACTCTGAGAGTTCTCCTTTTTAGTGGAAAAACTCAGCTTCGAGACGTTTAAGGTGTTTATGCAGCCAGGGTTCATTGGGGTGCGGCAGCTTGAACAGTTTCGCTCTGGTGTGGATCTCGGCTTGGATCTTCGGGCCAGCATGTAGACAGTCCATCGAGTGTCGTGCACAGATCTTTGCTAGGGATTAGCGGCTATCAGCCATCCAGACTTGCTCCAGTCCAGACCTCAGATTCGGTGGACTGGGAACAAGGACGCTAGGAGCAAAGTCTCCAAAATCGACAACAGACAACCTGAAAAACACGACTTTGGAGACCCGTTTTTCGAAGGAGGCCCATTATGGATCTTGACCTCAAACATGTGACGTGAGGCAAACAGTACTCGACCCCTTGGATTGTCAGATCTTTGGGACAGGTCAGCTTTGAGTCAAGTGCTTTGTTTTACTGTCAAACATGGTTGTCAAGTGGCCGCAACCAAACTGCAAAAACAGAGACCAGCTAGTGAAGACAATGCTTCTTCACTTAAGCTTCGCCTGCAGTCGTTGGGGATACAACAGCCGCAACACTCAAGCTTTGCACTCAATGGGACAGACACTGCTCTCACTGCGGACTCTGCTATCCACCACCAGCCACTTGACATGTCGCAGATGTGAGGCCCTAAACTACAGGCCATTGTCATTGGTGCAGATGGCCAATGCTCCTCCTCCATTCGTTCCAAAGCAGAACTTTGAAGGTTTGGAAGAAGTTCTTTGTTTCGTCAGAGTTTCCTCCACGCTTGGGGCCAGGTTCAACGAGCATTTGGCCTGGGTCTCAGCTCGGTCTCAGTCTGCTGTGCTGGTCGATTGATCGGTGAGGCCGATTCTCATTTGCATCATGCTCTTTGCTCTTCTGGTCCACATGGCGAGTCTTGCAAACGGCAGACGTCGGTGCCCGGCAAAACCGCATGCAGTGCGTTGAGCGGGAACAGATCCAGGTGACGGGCTGTCTCCTGGCTGTGTTGCAGCTCGACAGAAATATGCTAAACTGTGATTTGATGCCCAAAAGTCACCCACATTGGCCATGTTTGTCAAGGACCAGAATCAAGCGGCACAAGGACTCAATGCACCAAAGTTTCATGGGACTCAGATGGGCTTCGCTCTGCTGTTAGGAAGAGTACGGCCATGGTTGGGAAGCTCAGAGTTTTCGTGCTGCCATGGCATGGCCATGGTGTCGATTCCTTTTCACTTTCCACTTCAGGCTGCTGTGATGATTCCGATGAGGAGGAAGACGTTCGCTCGAAACGAGCTCAGCACGGCTAGATAGATCGGCGACTCCGTTGAACTGTAGAGTGGCGATGTGGCGATCAGTGGAGCGAAGCCAAGGTTCCAGCAGCTCCAGTCGCTTCAGCAGGGGGCCACACTGCTGAGCCCTCTGCCAGATCCGTAGCGTGCTCAGTGGTTGAGTGGATACTCAGTGGCAAAGGGACTGGATTGATTGGCGAAAAAGAAGCGGCGGACTTGTTGCTTCCATGCTAAGGTACATGCACATGGCGCCAGCACGAGCAGGATTTGGCAAGTGCGAGACCTCAGCTTAAGGACTTGAGGTAGCGCTAGAAAACTGCAGACAAGATCTGAAAAGTATAGAGAAGCTTGAAAAGTGTTTTCTTTGACTAAGGCACAATCAGATATATCTTGCATGAACTGGGTTTCAACCAGGGCTGTGGAAGCAGTTTCGATTTCGCTGCGATCCATAGTCCTGACATGGATGCTCAACATCTTTAGCTCAAACGCAGCTTGGATGTCAAGCACGCAGTGTGTTTAGCTCAAATCGCTGCGGTTGCGCAAATGGCCGGCTAAATTTGCCCGCCCAACGTCGCTCTCGGAGCGGCCAAAACGAGCCGTCATGGAAGAGTATCTCTGGCATGTAGGCTTTGTAAAGCTCATTCTCGCATTGAGCTGTGTGCCCATCTCTGCTCTTGCTTCGTTGCGAAGGGCTCAGCTCCAAACTTAAGAAGAAACCTGGACACACACACACACATCATATTGTTGACATGTCAAGCAGTCGACAAGCAGGCACACTCTTCGAGCTGCCCACTTTTGACGTGTTGTTGCGCCAGAGTTCCATAGCAGCTGCAAGATTGTCAATCTAATGTTCCTGCCTTGGTGACTTCCCTCTTTTGGGAACACGTGGTCTGAATCATTTATCGATTTGTGATGATTTGTAGACCCATTTGTTGCCACGGCGCGCCACACGGGCTGCTTGTGCAATGAACGCCATTGGGTGCCGATGATTTTGAAGGCTTTTTCTTTTAGGGTGCCATGGAGACCGCGACACTGCTCCCAGAGTGCGGCAGAAAGCGCAGGGCTATTCCAGAATGCTTTTCCTGAATGATTTATGTAGAAATTCATAGAAGTTCAATCATGAAGCCCGCGTCATATAAACACGATTGCAGCCGTAAAGCAAATACCTGTGAATTAGTGAGTAGAATATGACAACTTTCCGGCACTACTCTAAGAGTATCCAGAAATGGTCACTTCTTGAGTTTTGTATGTGTTTTGTATGTTATGTGCCATCCAAAACCATGTAGAGTGTCGCAGTTTTGTCTGTTCATTTGCCAGGTACTATTGGTACCATCTTCAAATTGTCTGACCGTGTGGCAGAGACAATCGAGGTGAGGCAAGGAGACCTACTTGACTCAGGCCTGATGAAGCGAAACAACCCTTTTTCAAGATGTGAATCAGATTGAACCAGTATATTTTTGTATATATATATATATAATGTTTTTTATTGTCATGTTCTGTTGCTTTCATGGGCTCAGGATCTTATGATGCTATCATCAATTCTGCAAATGAGACGTTAGAAGGTCCGCCAAGAGCTTAGTGAGATTAACTCGTCATACTTGGCTAAAGTCATTTAGGTCCTGCTGTACTTTGGTCTCATAGAAATACCTTGTGATAGAGTTTCCACCCACAGCTAAGTAAACACTAGTTCTTCTTAGCATATGCTTGTGCGCAAGGCTTTTTCCATATTTCCCCATTGGCTGGGGCCCTGGCTTGAACTTTGACTGGTTTCACTCCTTGCCCGGGCTGCGGGAGGTGCTGAATGTGAGAGTGGTGACGTTTTCTACCAGGAGGACGTCGTTGCGATCCTCAGGACTCTCCGAATTTAAAGCCCTGATGGCATGATGTTTCAAGGGACTCTGATTTTCCATCTACCCAGGCAAACCTAAGGTGGATGGGCAAAGTGCCTGATTTACTTGCCAGAGTGACTCTGATGTTTAATTTCAGGTGGATGGCCAAATCCACAAGGCTGGAGGTCCTGCCTTGAGTGGCTTGGCAAGAATGACACCCCCTGAGTGTGAGTGGAAGATGTGACAAAGAACCAGAGCAATCCTTTCCACACAAGTATTGCGATCAGATGCTTAGGCTTTCCTGCAAGGATCTCTCAGCTGTGTTCAACCTTCCGTCTATCTACAATTTGGAGTCATATAGACCACAGAAGGTATTGAACTTGTTCAACTGAGGCAGGCTCTGCCGGAAGCTGCCCGAGCTGATTGGGTCTCAAAAGACTGACCCAACTGAAAGCAGCTGTGTCTTTTCGGCCGTTTCCTTCTTTCCCTGGCACATGCAAGGCCACCCAATGATGACCCAGAAGCGCCGTATCCAAGTGAAGAACTCAAGGGCGGTCCCACGGTATCCTTGGGTCCGTCGCCTGAGAAGAGCTAAGTCCGAGGTGCATACACTCAACGTTGTGAGATTGGGGGTGCTCGTTTGACAGAGGCAGTTGTAGAGCAGCTCAGAGAAAAAGAGAGAGAGAGAGAGAGAGAGGGAGAGAGAGAAACATCTTGTTCAGCTGAACAGGTCCCCGACAAGAGCCACTTGGTGAAGCGGCCCTGTTTGAAGTCGCGAGCCACGGGAGGTGTCTCAAAATAGGCCTGGGTTAAAGCCTGCCTTGGCCGGTGGCCTGGGAGTCACCTAGCTTTAATTCATTTTTATTCTCCTTAGATGGGCGACAGGCATCACGATGCCGCTTCATAGTGCATGCTGTTGCACCAATCTGGGTCTGCACCCTGGAAACGATAAATCAGAACACTGCCTTGGCAAATCACTTGGGCAGCTGAGGCAGGCGATTTAGACCCACAGGAACAAGCCAGACGCTTGAGCCTGTTGAGGAAGGTGCGGTCCAGCTTGCTTGATAGCTTCCAAGCCTGAAGAGTTAGTTGTCAGGCATATGAATCAGCCTTTGATGCAGCTGCAAATGCGCCAGCCCGCGTGCCAAAAGCTTAGCATACTGTATCTCTTGAGTTCCTTCATGTTTTCTTCAGATTCCGAGCAGCTCGAAGCATGGCACTCGATAGAGCGTGTCTCTCCAATGCTTGCAGACTTCGCTGAGGGACTGTCTTTGTTCTCCACTTCTTGGTGCTGGAGCAAAGTGTTCGGCTGAGCTTTTAGAAGTGACAGGGTCAAATTTCAAGCCAATGGTTTGACCTTGACTCGCAGCTCCAGGCAGTTCCCCCTGGACTTGGCGGCGTCCTGTGCGGCGGAGGCCGTCAAACGCTCGGGACGTACGACTCTGAAGCGGCTGGTTCTGATGGATCTCCGCGCGGAGTGTGTGGAGCATCTCACGAAGGAGGCCTGGGACCGCGAGCCGATCGGGTTACATAGCTTCAAATCAGACCAGTGGTCCACTTCTTGGAGTAGCTGAAGGTCCTATTGAGTCATGGTACGCCGTGGAACACCAACAGAAGTCCTGAGACTTTGTATCCCAAAGTCCATTTGTATTTTCAAACAATCTGTAATTAGCTGCAGCTAGGATTGAGGAACGTGATGGGTAACAGTGGAAGTGACCACAAAGAAGTCTTGTATTCCTGATATTTGTCAAGTTGCTCATGGTGTTCGCAGTGTGAAGTTGGAGCCCCGCAGTTCAGCAAAGCTCTCGACGCTTCGTGAAGGGCGATGCCAGAAGCCGACGATTCCTGTTTTCGAATGCAGCGAAAATACCTTTCCGGCTTTTCGGAAAGAGCGCCAACACACTTGATTGAAACGGACTGAGCACATTTTGGTGCTTGTCTATCATGATCTTTTGTCATCAGCCATGAGACGTCTTTAGACACGGCAGACATTCATTTGAGAATTCCAAAGCATACCGAGTTTGAGGGCATTTCTGCAGCATGACAGGGGAGAAATTCTACTGTAAAAACATTCTAAACGACGTTGCAGCAGACCATCAACAGAGTCTGAACAATCAAAGTATTTGTTGGCTCTAAGACGCTAGTAGGGCGGAGGCCATCGCTATTAGGGTGGAGGCCATCGCTTGTAGGTTGGAGGCCATCAAATCGATGTATTCGTTGGAACATTTGTGGCTTACACTGATCCATTCGCCTGAAGCCATGGCCGAAGCTGATAGCTGTGAGGCCGCAGAAGGTCTTCCAATTTCCGGAGGAGCAATCTTTGAGCAGGTGCGGTGCAATCTTTGAGTTTCTATTCAGCCCAGTAGCTGTGGACTCATCCATCAAGTCGTTTCAAGGACTTCTCAAAGTTGAGGGAGAGCCTGGAAGAAGGAGTATGGGAGGCCCAACAGTCAACAAGGGGAGCGCAAGGAAGAAAGCACAGAATTGCCTCTTCCAAAGGTGGATGGCGATGAGGACTTGGAGCTTTACACAGCAGAGGCTTCCTGATTTTCTGCATCTTTTTCCAAAGTCAGACGCCCTCTGTCTTTCATGCTTGCACAAAGATGCCTCCAGCATTGAGATTTGTGGCCACTGCATGATACGGCCAGGCCAAAGATGGTGATCCGGGAGCAGCCGGGCCCTTGCGTGTGTTCCATGAACCAGTGAACTGGGCGATCCATAACCCTCGTCTCTCATAAGGTCATGCTGACGAAGGGTGGCCTTGCTTCTGTTGCGGAGCTAGTGCCACATAGCTGCAAGCTTTGGTTTAACTACTTTGGCTACAAACGCTTTTCCAACAACTTCCAATCAGATTGAGATATTGAGATGCGCTTTGTCGCTCTCTTCAGGCATCAGCTGGATGGGCGAGGGATGCAGGCACACAGCTTCTCCCTGTGGAGTGGTCTTGCAGCAGCGCGTTGCAGTCGGGTGAGGTTAACCACTTCACCGTGGACTTGATTTGTGAGAGTCTCAGGATTGGTATTGACTGAAGTATGGATACCACAATTTTGGGTGTGGCCTCAAACTTAGCAGTGCCCCAAAAGACCTTTCAAGAAGAAAGAGAGCAGCTAAACAAGAACATTCGTACCACTTGACAACTTGTTCAGCATTGGCGTTGATGGTTCAGTCCTGCCACCACAAACTGTTTCGAGATGTCTTTTCAGCGAAGGCGAATCCATCGACGTGGATTCAAACGGAACCTTCACAGTGCAGCACTTAGCTGTGTCAGTCCTCACTGGCAACCAGTGAAAAAGAAACAAAGAAACCCGTTCTACAAAATGCAGTTTGCTCTCATCAAAGCTATGCAGACAGTGCAGTTGTGAGATCGAAACTTAGAGCTCTACTGGAGTTCATTGGACACATCTATCTTCATCTTCTGGCACTTTCGAAGGTTGGTTTGGCCTTTGAGGAGGATCTTGAAGAGGCCTCCTTTCTGGTCATCGGCTCAGCGTCAGGGACCCGACGAAGGAGGGATGCCCTACGGTATCCACCATTTGCCGGCATGGAAAGGTATCGACGGCCTGTTCTGT